TCACTATGGATAATAAGCGCTATCGGTGTATTGAGATTAACTCGCTTTTATAGCATCAAGTTAGTGTACATTAAATTTAACGATTCCATCGAGCCATTGCTCTAAATTGGCTCGGACAAAGATGCGAAGCGCGATTTTAACTATTCACTTTATTTACGAAAAACATTCAGAGATCGTAAAACGAGCTGAGTCCATTTGATATTGCGAAAACAATGACATTAGGAATATTTTGTTGTTCAGTTTTTGTATTCCGTAATCTCCTAAATATAAATACGTAGAGGGGAAATCTGGGTTCCTTAACAACATGGTATTTGAAATAGACATCATTTAAAATAAGAATATACTTAAATTCAAACATCTAAAATGTTCTTCAATTTAAAAAAAAAAAACTTTATAATCCAACCAACCTTTTTGTCACCAGTTACTATTTAAAAAATCATTCTCAAACATTCATAATATTTAGATTAAACTTCGTACAGCGTTTTGTAAATAATATATGGATCTGTTTTTAAATTGCAACTTCTTTTTTTTTATTTAACTAGCTGTGTCCCGCGACTCTGTTCGCGTGCATATAAAAAAACTTATAAAGTTAAATAAAAAGCAGCTCTTTAAGGTAACAATGCGAAAGAAAAGTGAATAAATAGTATCCTATGTCCGTCTCCTAGCTCTGAGCTAGTAGAGTAAAGCCGTTCTTGAGTTATAAATAGTAAACTAACACGACTTTCTTTTATCCAAGATATGTTTTGTCTAAATAAATTAAATCGTACAACACAAACCCTCGTATACACTTGTCAAAACAAAAACATATTTTCTTTCCCTTAAAATAGAAACTAGGTCCTTTTTAAACTCAAATTTTTAGTAATATTATAACAATCCAAAGCTACCGTACTAACAAGTCTGTAGTAATATGTAAAGAAATATACACACTAGAAAACAATTATCGATGTAATCAAAACGCCCTCGCGTTCACGGCGACTAATTAATCGCTTGAGCAACTTGTAATGATCCGACCGTGCGGTTGGATAATGAAAAATCGTCCGGAAATTTGCGACATTCCGGAACAGAGCACTATTTTGCTTGATATATATTCAATTTATAAAAAGATTCATTTAGGTATATTCTTTGGTATTATTTTTGTTTCTTTAAAAAGTAATGATAGTAAAATTACAGAATTCATGATATATTATCTAACTAGCG